TTTAAAGCAATTTTAATTTGTAGGTCTAAAATGGGACAATGTCACGTGATTTTAGCCTTTAAGTGTCGTGCACTGTATTATTATTATATATTATGTTTTAATATTATAACCATATAGCGACGATTCTGTAAATTTAATACTGAAGAATAACTATACTGTCAATCCTTATCTGATTACGATAGCATCCACTGCTAATGGTTTTTTAGCAGTTTTTAACTATTCATTGAATTATAACCCCTATCCGTTGCCTCCACTTAGCGGGCTCTACGCAACATTTATACCCTACTACACTCCTGTGGGATATACAGAGCCTTTTATGACTTATATCTATCAAATAACACAACCTAATATGATAGTTAACTCAGTTTATTGTGATAATTATATTAATTTTGCTGGAAATATTTTTAATATTACAGATACTTTTATTTGTATAGCCTCCGTCAACAATAACGATACAACAAACTATGTAGAAATTATTTTTTGATCCATTAGGTACGGCACTAAATAGGAGTGCAATATGCAAATACCCTAGCTACCCTGGCGAATTTGGGCTATCCCAACAAAGTTGGGGAGGAAAAATAATACCATACATGTACAATAATTATATGTGGGATGTTACGGCTTATGACGATAGAGATAATCAAACTTATCATTATATTTATTTTTATGATCATGGTTCAGACTATTTTTTAATGTCGGAGCGTTTTCTTACAAATTACTTTGGTTCAAACGCTATTGTACCTTTTAATGCTACTTTTCTACTTGCTTCACCAACGATTGATAACATTTCTTGGTCTTTGCTCAATATTCCGTTATATCAAGGTTGTGTATACTTGTAATAATTTCTAACATAAAATTTTATTTTCATTGAATTTCTTGCCTAATTTATTTTTATCATTGTAGAGAATTTAGAGTATTTTTATTTATTGGATGAATCAAATATACTACTTGCTTTATCACTTTTATTACTAACGTCAATATCTATCAGGTGTTTAGTACCCTATGTGGTGAACGATAAGGTAAATTTATTTTGGCATGATTCTTTTAGAGCTTTTCGTCATGAATATTAATAAAATTTTTGTTTAAAAGCTAAAATTGAAGCAATAGGCATTGCATTATTAATATTATTAGGGCTTGGAAATATCATTCTTGAATTTATTCTTTTAATTCTCTTTGTTATTATCTATCCGGGATTAGGGTATTTTTTATAAAATTTATTTATTTCTATCATAAATTAATACTAATTATTGTCACCATTCACCTTTTGACTCTTGAAAAAAACGCAATTAGAAGTCTATCCATCCTGATTATTTCATCATTCACAAACTTCTGTGTAGCAATCATTACCATTTATAAGGGAATTAAAGATCCCGCTATTGGTGGAAATTTTAAAGATTGGATTAAGGAACATCGAGATTTAGCAATTATGCTAGTTATTTTAGTAGTAACTAATTATGAATATTTGTCGGTTTTAAAAATGTTTACTAAGAAATTATACCGATACGAGCAAATCAATAGATTTAATATACTTGAACATATATTTGAAGTTGCAATTATGTGGGGTGCATTTTTTGATACTTTTTTTAGGAATATCCCACTGATTATTTTTATTAAGGTTAGTAAATATATTGTTACGAAGGTTATTCATCCGTCACGAATAAGGAAATATACTTGAATTAAGACATTCACTGGTTAAAAAATCTTTTAACTAAATAATAACTAGTTATTTCTAGTACAAATAATAACTTATTTGCTCTTATTTACTATATAATTACTAGGTAATATATGTATTTAAGCATATTAGCTAAAAATATATTAAACTACAAAAATATCTAGTAATTACCGGTATATAGTAAATAAGTTATTATTTGTACTAGTTATTATTTAGTTAAAATGTGTTTTTTAACCAGTGATTGGTGACTTCATAAAAATTTCATTTAGCTTCATTAATTCAATTTTCTGATAAATAATATCATATTCACAATATTATTTAAATAGGTCTTTTATTATCATAATTACTACCATAAATTCGATATATATATTATAGTTACTTTCCTTTTGCTCGTCACGTCTAGCCTTAAGATTTTCTTGATCATCTTTTATATGTTCAAAATGGTAACCTTGAATATTATCCGGTGAGTATAACAACCATTTATTTTTATTCTTAATCGTAGAAATGTTATTTCTGATCAAATAAATTCATTTAGGAGGTTAGTGTAAAATTTTATAATAAAATCAGTATTTATAATCACGTATTACTTTCTAACAATGTTCGTAAATAAAGAAAGTAAGTATTAAGGTTCATACGTATAAATAATTATTTATTAAAATCAACTATTTAAATATACTTTTCAATCAATTCATTATCAGTTTGTGAGTAAAAAATTTAGTTTATTGAACAATCGTTTCAATAAATAAGCATTCATCACTTCATATTAACTCTTTAATTACACTAAACAATAGCAAGTAAGTATGAAAATCCATTAATATTGATTTGTAAAGTTCATACCTTTTATTGCAATTAATTTATTTCAATACTGATCAATTGAATGAAAAGGTTAATATGTTGCTAATATATTGGATTCTATTGTCAAATATAATTCAAGGAATTAATACAATTCAATAATTTATATTTCAAATCAAAGATATAAATTTTATGGAAAATGTACAAAATGTAAGAGACCTTATATTTCTCCAACCTGGTGTCAATTATGTGATCCTCCAGAAGAAACTAAAGGATGGACAAGTGGAAATCAAAATATTGACGAATATATCAAAGGATTTCAAATCAAAGTTACAGAATATGAAGAGATGATTGAATGGATTCCATTTGATAGACTGATTAATTTGCAAAAGGTTAGAGAAGATGAATCAGAAGTAATATATATGGCTACCTGGCTAGATGGCATAAGAATAATTAAAGGTGAACTTATGGAATATACACGGTCACGTATTAAATCATGTGGTGTTAACCTTAAAGTCTTGCATGGTTCTCAAACATGCGATCTTTTTATAAAAGAAGTAAGTCAAATTGTCATTTCATTATTCTCAGCTTATCACAATACTATTAACACACTTTAAACATTCAATATTATAAGCTTACAAATTATATGCAGTCAGAGGGAAATGTTGTATACGGAATTACTCAAAATACAGTAACAAATCAATACATCATAGTAATACCAGATGAGTTTAACTCTATAAGAAACGATTCAAATGGAATATGTATGTACTGTAAACATTATAATACTTCTCCTGCTTGGTGTCAATCCTGTGATCCTTGGAGAATAACTCAAGAATGGACGAGTGGAAATGAAGAGATTGATAATTTCGTTAAAGAATTTCAATTCAAAACCACGGAATATGAAAAGGTGTTTGAATGGATTCCGTTTGATAAACTAATTAATTTACAAGAAATTAATGAAGAATCGGATCTTGTATTCATGGCAACCTGGGCAAAGGGTGTACGAGAAATTAAAGGTGAATCTGGAACATACATGCAGTCACGCATTATATCATCCGTTGATCTTATGAAATTAAATTGTTCTCAAATAAACACTTTGGAACTTTTAGAAAATGTAAGTTAAAATTATTTATACTAAATATTATTAGCTTCTTGCCTGAAATAATAAGTTACTGCTTAATTAATTCATATTTTGTGTATAAGTTTAAAATCCATATTCAATCAGAAAAATATAGAATACGTGGAATAACTCAAAATACAGAAACAGGTCAATACTTGATTGCAATTGATTTTTATAGTCACAAAAGAAAGTCTGTTAATGGAAGTTGTGAATATTGTAAACGATACAACACCAATCCAGCCTGGTGTCAATTATGCGATCCTCCAAAAGTGACCCAAAAAACGAGTGGCGATAAAAACATTGATGATTGCATTAATGAATTTCAACTTAAAGCTACAGCATTTGATAAAGTGATCGAATGGATTCCATTTGATAGATTAGGAAGTATAGAATTTATTGCAAAAGGAGGGTTTGGTACACTATATTCATCAATTTGGTTAGATGGTAAACGAATGGTCGAAGGTGATAATAATGTAGGATATGTACGATTTCGTAAAAAATCCTGTAAAGTTGCTCTTAAAACATTGCCTGGTACTCAAATAAGCTCTATCAATTTTTTAAATGAGGTAAGTTAAAATTATTTGTTTAGTTATGAATTTATTGAATATTATTTTATAAAATTAATTTATATATTTTTTCAAGTTTAAAAATCATATGCAATGTAGATTAGAGGGTAGTGAACTTGAAGTATACGGGTTGACTCGGAATGCAGAAACCGATCAATATATGATTATTTTAGAGAAATTGTATGGCAAAAAAAACTAAAACAACTTGCGGACATATCTTATAATTTGTCTCGAATTCATAGAACTGGACTTATTCATAGTGATTTTCACAGTGGTAATATTTTATTAAACCAAAATGTTGATGGAAATATAATTTCATACATTACAGATCTGGGATTATCTAGAAAACAAGATGAATATGATTCAAAAGAAGGTATTTATGGAGTCATGCCATATGTTGCACCAGAAATTCTTGAAGGCCAGAAATACACACAAGAGGCAGATATTTATGGGTTAGGGATTATTATGGCAGAAATATCAACAGGAAAAAGACCTTATGATGAATTTAAATTCGATAAAGAGCTTGCATTATCTATTTGCAGTGGATTACGTCCAGAATTTGCTAATGGAACACCTGATTGTTACATTAAATTAGCTAATCAATGCATGGATTCAAATCCACAAAACAGGCCAACTGCAGAATATGTTTATTTAAAAATTAATCAATGGAAATCAATTATGGATTCAGAACACTTAACAGATGAGGAAGAACTTGATATTAAACAAAAATTCATTGATGCAGATAGTATAATCAAAACAACAACATTAAAATCCTTATCAATGGTTCAAAATAAATACTATAGCACATTAATTGATGTACAAGAAATAGCAAAGAGTCTTGAAGGTATTACGTAACTTTATTTTGCATTACTTATCTTTTGTAATCAGTAATTAAGTATTAATTTATTTTTTTACTTTATTGCACAAAGTATCTATTCAATATAATAGCTCTATTTCAAAAGGAAGTTTAACTATTGAAATCCCATCTGAATATTGATTCGTTAAGTTAGTATAATTTGAAATATTTGATTATTTCAAAAGTTTTTTTTTATTAATATTATTTTTTAAAAAAAGTTAAAGAAAATGTATTTCAAAAGGATTAATGCTTTAAGAATGTTTTGTGTTAGTTTTCTACTTATGTTACTTTAACATTAGAGTTATGGTTGGCGGTAGAATTAATTTTGTAAATTAATATGGTTACGGCATATGCCATTTTTTGCAGTAATTATTGTGAGCCGTAATGCCGCAATCAAAGCCTTAATGTCGCAATGCTATTTGTCGAAATGTCATACTGCCATTGAGTCGAACTGTTGTAATGCTGCAATGATATAGAAAACTTTTCACAGACTTGCTGGCGTGTTGATGTTATATGGTTTAAAGTAGTGTTTGGAAATAAGACATTAATAAAAGAAGGCCTGTGTTTCGTTATTATTATTATTATTATTAGTGTTATTATTATTAGAGGTTTGCTATTTATCATCACTGATGATATCACCGGTGTTGCTATATCCAAAAACCTACTAAGTAAACGGGATCGGGTACTCTAAATAAAAATGTTTAGGACTCCTGAAAACCTCACGAAAATTAAAATCGTGACCTTATATCTAATCTATTAATACATAGTGATGGTACCCGGGTAGGGTATCACCCGGGTTATCCGCAGATAGTCGGATATCCGGGTTGTGAACTCAGCTACCCGGATAATACCAGATAAAATACCCGGATGATAATACCCGGATAGTACCTGGATAATACCCGGGTAAGACATACCTGAATTGAATAAGCTCATAATAGATAAAGTCTGAGTATTCTATATTATATTATACGTATCAGTTCTAGTGAAAAATCGCTTGGTGCTTACTTTGTGATATTACAAATTTATTTTGTGCTAGTATGTTTTAATTCATTATTTGTGTTA